CACACGGACCCGCACCACACGGACCCGCAACACACGGACCCGCACCACACGGGCCCACACCACACGGACCCGCAACACACGGACCCGCACCACACGGGCCTGCACCGAGCCGCTCTGGCTGAGGTTGCACATATCCCACAAGCCTTTCCCATTCTACACGGCACAGCTGGTCCCTCTTCGCTCCTTCCTGCTTGAATACACTTCTCTCCCGGCTTCTGGGAAAATACATTCTGATTTCCTCCTGTCCCCACCCCACTCCTCAGTCCCCATGTGGTTCCCTCCCCTGCAGGCCTTACTAGACAGCTCACAGGTTCGGCACACCACCTCGTCCAGAACAGACTCCGAGGCCACCAGGCTTTCTGCACACGCTGCCCTTTCTCTGCTTCCCACCCGGCTGACTAACAAATGACCCTCTCCACACCCTGCAGGTCTCGGCTGAGGCACAGGTCCTCAAGCATGCCCCCCGACACTCCAGCTGCATCCCCATCACTCCCTCTCATCCCCTGCACTCACCCCATTCATAAGTCTGTGCTCTCTGGTTCAACGTCACTCACTACTACCACTCGCTTCTCCACTGCCCTAGACTGTGAGGTTCATGAGAACACAGGGCCCGGCACTGCTGACTGAAACCTTCCCCTGCTTTTTCTTCTTCTTTAAATACAAATTACTAAATGGGATTTGCCAAGATATGTGGAAAATAGTTCAGTTTGAAGTATAAATACTCCCTCAAAGCAAAAACTGTTTTTAAATTATTATTGTTATTACTGTTTTTCAGGTTAAGAAACTGAGGCCCCAGAAGGCATGGGTTACAGTCAGAGTATTACAAAAGTCATAAACTTATGCCTGGCTGGCATGGCTCAGTGGTTGAGCATCAACCTATGAACCAGGAGGTCAGGGTTTGACTCCCAGTCAGGGCACAGGCCTGGCTTGAGGGCTCGATCCCCAGTGTGGGGCATGCAGGAGGCAGCTGATCAATGATTCTCATCACTGATGTTTCTATCTTTCCCTCCCCCTTCCTCTCTAAAATCAATAAAAATGTATTTTTTAAGAAGTCATAAACTTATAACTCTAAACTGATGGCCTCCCTAGAGAGAAAAGAAGTCCAGAATAGATATATTTTAATTCCAAATAAAAGACTTGGCTCGATGAGTTGCATTTCTGAAAATAGCTGTCCAGCCTTTGTGAGGCAGACACACCCACACATGCTGGGCATTCTGAAGGCTAAACATAGCGACTGCAGGACAGATACTAAAAGACACCTGTCGGGAGGCAAGAACGCAGCGATGCTTCATGCCTCCCTGGGCCCCTCCCCACACTGAGCTGGGAACTGGAAAAGGGCCACGCTCTCCCAAAGTTTCCATTCCGTGTACTTTTTATCAAAGTGTGCACATAAAGAAGCGACAGCACTCCTGAGAAACCCCGCAGCCCACCGCCGCCTGCTCCTCGCGTCCCCAGGCAACCACTTCCAACTCTCAGCTGGCCCTTCCTGTATTTCACACCCTCAGGGAACATGCTTACACACTACTTCCGGAATCTGTCATTTAGATCACTAGTCAGAATTCATATTATAAGTATGTATACACTGAGAGTTGAATTTTAGAGTAAAACTATGAAACGTCCTAATCCACACAACTTTTCCTTTTCCCTGGAATTAACTGTCCTGGGATTTTGTGCTTATTAAGCTTTCCATGTAACAATAATGTAACCACAAAGTCCCCCTGGAGGGCAGATCTTCCTTCCACCTGTGCCAGAACCGTAGGTGTGCAAGCGATTTCTCTTGTCTTAGGGGTTGTCCCATCTGGTCTGAGGGCCCCCAGCTGCGTCACACCCTGGAGACCCCCTTCTACGGATTTTTCTTAAACAAATAACAAAAAAGTACAAACTAGTAAGAGAAAGACTTGTACATGTGACTGCATGATAATTAAGAATGTTGGTTCTTCAAAAATAAAAAGCCAAGTCATAAAGGGAATGTTAACATACATATAATTGAAAAATACACAACACATACATACGTGTGTGCACACACACAACTCCCATGGAAAAAATGGGCAAAAGACACAAACATTTCTCAAAGGCAAAACAAATACTTAAGAAACACATAAAAATTCTCATCCTACGGACTAGGAAGGGAAATATCATCTCGGTGGTTCTGAGTACTATCTGAATTCCTACCGAATGAACAGTCACCCCTGACTACTAAGTACTGGTGAGGAAGTGCCACGTGGGCATCTGCACACACTGCTGCCAGCCTGTGCCCTGGCACAATGACCTGGAACACAACTTGGAATGATCCAGAAAAGCTGGGTGCACATCTGTCGGCTGGCGCTGGGCTCCTCGCATGCCCGCTCTCCTCTCCTCAGCAAGCGTGCAATGCCAGGCCCACACCTTTAAGGCTGCACAGAGCACATGACTTGCTTTGGCCAATGTAATGCGAACAAAGAGAACAGGTGTCACTTCCAAGCAGAAGCTCCAAGAGCAGCATGAGCTTCGCCACGTTGCCTCCGCCTCACCCTGGAGGTCATGGACACGTTAGGGACGGAGCCGCCACCGGCCTATCTTGGAGTGCCGACAAGGAGAGCTCCCTGCAGACCACGCCAGAGAGACAGCCCGGGGGACACACAAACGTGGGCCCTAGGCCGCTGAGGGCGACTGTCACTGCAGCATGGCCTGGCCATCTGGGCTGGTCCACCCGACAGGTCACTCGTGGACATCGTGTAGGAATGCTCACAGCAGCATTATCTGTAACAGCAAAAACAACTAGAAACCCAAATACCCACTAACAGGAGAATGAATATATAAATACCACCGGTCCTCGAGTAACATAACATTGTTACATTCAACGTCATTTCATGAGAACGGCTCTGGGTTTTCGGGGACTCAGGTTCCTCCCACATTTCAGAAACATGCAGGGTGACTGGCGTGTCTCCGTGGTCCCTGAGTGAGCGTGCCGAGTGGCCCTGAGATGGAGGGTGTCCTGCCCAGAGTGGGACCCGTCTGCACTCCTGAGCCACTGGGAGCATCCGGCCACCATGACCCGGAACTGGAACCAGTGGGTTGGAAAAAATGACCTTGCTTGTTTTCAGGAATCTTTCTTAAAGGCATGTATAGTTCACATTTATTTCAATGTTTAATATTAGAAGCATATAGGAGAATGTGTACTGTTTATATGCAAAAACTACACCATTTCACATAAGGGACTTTGAGCATCTGTGGATTTTGGTAGCCACGGGAGACAAATCCTCCCCAGATCCCGAGGGAAAACTGCGCCCGCGCGTGCG